ATAAACAAACAAACAAACAAACAAACCTTAGCTGTGTGCATAACTGTATGCTGAATCCCATGAGTGCTTCTATCAGATCACCAAAATTGTGTGCAGTTTTGGAGACCTTATAAAACACATTACACATTTCAAATTCAAGCAAATATCCTTCAAAATTTGATCAGCTTATATTAAAACATTTTGTACAGAAGTCCATTTGTTAGTTATCTTAAGGTATATTTGAAAATATTAATTTGTAATAGTACAGAAAAGAATAGAAAGAATAGAAAATACCTTGGAAAAAACCTTCATTTAAACTTTTTTGCAGGTGTTTTCCGTGCTTGTCAATGTACTTGCACTTTTATACAGTAAGACCTTTAGATTTCGTCTCCTGTTCTTTTTGATTTATTGTATGTAATAAGCATAAGCTCATTTATAAACACTATGTTGAATTTAAAACAGTGATTTATAAAGTAAAACAGTGATCTATAAAGTAAAGATAGGGAACAGTGGGATGGTATGAGTCTAAACTATGCTGATGAATGGAAATATTTATATATGAAATATTAAATGACAATATTATAAAAATAAAGTATAGACATTAAATATAGCTAAGAAAATTGTACCAGATAGTCATAAGGAACATAATAATATACTGTATGCAGGTTATTTCCTTGATCCTCAAAATAAACTTGTAAGGTAGGTGTGTTATTCTTATTTTATAAATGAGGAAAGTAAGGTCTAGAAAAATTACTTATTACAAATAAATATGTTGCCAGGCAGGATTTGAACTTTGGTTCCCCGATTCCAAATTCAGTGCTCTTTAGTCACCCCAACTGCCTTTATGCAGTCACAGAAGTTAGAAACGGTTTCAAAGCCATATGAAACAGTTAAATATCTACTAGGGTCTTATTTTTCTCTTTTAAACTGCTTATGTTCACAGCAGTTTATCATTTAAGAAGTTGTAATCTGGTGTATGAGCAAGTCTCTTACAGAATATCATCTTTCTTAGGGGGAGTGAAGAGATAATTAAGAGTAAAACTGTTTTACTGAGGGGCGCCACATACTTCTGGTGTTTTTTTGGAACCGGTCAAAATGAAGCGAGCGTCTCACCGAGGGGACGCGCGTCCTCAGCAGTGATGCTGCGACCGATGTCACAGCCGCGCTCAGCTCCTTTGGACGGCGAGCAGCCACACTCTCTGCAGGGCCCACTCTGCCAATCGCTATACAAACAAATCTTCAAAGATGAGTTCAAACCCTCTTGGTGTCCACTGCAATATTGTTTAGAAAAAAATCAAATATTTAGCCAACCAACTGGAACAGCTTATCGGCCTTGGCCTGGGAAGAATCGTAACCGGCATCACTGAGTCACAACGGCTCAGGCGGGAGCGACAGGGATGGGTGCTCTAAAGGCTGCCCTTCTGCGTCATTCAAAAGGAGGCCTGCGACAGCTGGTGGTGGCTTTAAATGATAACTGCCTACTGGTCATGTCACGGAAAAGCCAAGCTGACATGTAGCACCTCTACTGCCTCCCGGCCGATGGGGAAACGAGGGGCAGTATTTGGATCCTCAAGAAAGGCAAGTCCCTGGGAATGCCAACTCTGGCCGTGGGGACATTCGGGTATGCTCAGGCTCTTAAACGGGTGTGAGGCATCAAACAGGAGGAAAGGGGGAGGGGGCAGCTGAACACCCCCCACAATCTCTTTGAGTCCAGTGGCTAAGGACTGAGCCCTGAGTCCCACAGAATAGGAGTCAGGCTCCATCACTTACTAGTTGCATGACCTTTTTTTTTTTTATATATATCCTTATTGATTTCAGAGAGAGGAAAGGAGAAGGAGAGAGAGAGAAAGATCAATGATGAGTCACTGATCGAGCCCGCAACCCGGGCAGGTGCCCTGACTGGGAATCGAACCCGATCGCCTGGATCCCAGGTCGACGCTCAACCGCTGAGCCACGCCCGGCCGGGCATAGACAGGATCCTCTAGCTCATCCACCCGAGGGTTAGTCTACTCATCAAAATAAGAATAATGATAGTTACCTCATAGGTATTATTAAATGAAGTAATGTATAGAGTGTAATTTATACAGTGCCTAGGATATATAGAATAAGTGCTAAATAGTATCCAATATTATTACAAAATTACTATTATTAGGCTTCAAAGTAAATTTGGCATTAAAATTAAGGTTAAATTTTAAAAAACATGTTTATATGATTTTTCTTCTAACAGATTGCACTTATTCTGTAAATGATAGTGGCTATAATCTGAATAATATCATTGTGAGATGCGTTAGTTATGTAGGGGATCAATGAGGCTATTTGCTATTTGTAATACAATAGCAAAATTCAAAGGAAATATGACCAAATTTAGCCAGTGTGTCCCCCCCCAGTATAAAACAGGGTATGGAAGGAAGTAGTTGATTTTGCAATTTATTCGTATAGGAGAACTTAGCCTGAGTCCACTGGTTTCATCACTGTGCATAGACTTTACCTGCTCAGCTGCCCAATGAGTGCCACCAGGTTTATGGCCCATAGAAGTAGCACCGGCTTAATGAACACGCATATCTATGCACCCAGTTAAAATTACGTTGCTGATCCTACATAAAGTGAATATCCGCCCCATACATGAAAGTAGGTGAATATATCTTTATTGCCCTGACATCGTTATTGGTTATCTTCACTGAGATAAAAATAAAGAACTGTTAATTAATTATTAATCACAAGCCTATAAAAATTCTACTTACAGTAAATAAAGGATCAGGAAACAATTTTATCAGGGCATCATTGCAGAAAAGAATTGGAACTGAGTTAATTATTTGCCCATTAGGCCCAATAATTATAAGTTCCTAAAAATGCATTCTTTATATTATAAAAGTCTATAAGTTCTTGTGCCCTCCCTATTAAGCCTTTTAACTCAATTAACTTAGAATTAATATCAAAAATTTATAGTTACTGCATAAGTCCAGGTGTTTTTTGTTTAGGAAAAAGAATGACACACTTTGCCTGGGGTATGATTACATATCCTATAGAGCTTAAAAGAAACTCATTTGCAGTAATCACAGGAAGACCAAGGATTATAATAGTATGGAAAAAGAACAATTTGTTATTTTCCCTAAAATTATTATTGTAAGAACATTGGAATATAGAAGTACTACCTTTCTCTTAGAAACATATATGTCTACATAATTTGTTCTATGATTCCAGAGAGCAAGGTTAGTTCTCCTGGGTCAGATTAATTTGAAGGGAATCAAAAATAAATACAATAATTTAAATAGTCAAGAGAACATTCAGCCTTGTATATTTTGTGATTTTAAATATCAAAACTTTCAGAGATTAAATATGAGTCATATTATGTTAAGATAATGATCACCCTTTTGTAATTAAAAAGCAATAAATCACAAAATTCACCCAAATGAGTATATAATTCAATTGCAGATATATATCAGAGGAACAGTGCCATTTCCTTTAGTAGGAATCATAGCTATTCTTTTCACTGTGGGAAGAGTATTTAATATTACTCATACGCCAAACATATTCATAAAACACTTCTTTCATCAGAGAGACTATTAAGTAGTTTATATGCATTGCACTGAATTTCTCTTTCTTCCCAAATTTATGCCCCTTCTTCAGTGTTTACAAACATCTGTTAATGGTACCACCACTCTCTCATTTCCCAAATTCAAAACCTTAGAATATTCTAGATCCCTCCTTCCCTAAGAGCCGAGCATTCAGGCTGTGAACAGCTCACATTTTTTTACAGTGATGCAGTCTGCAACATATTTCTACCAATAAGCTCAGTAAAATATCAACTGCACTCCCATTACTTACAAGGAAGAAACACAGTTTCTGCAGAGTGATGAACTTACTGAAGGCTACACACAAACTTACTGAAACTACAGAGACCAGAATTATGATTGGTTGAGCCTCAGATCATTAATTTTTCCACTATCCCTCTGTTTCTGTTGATTTTACTTTCACAACATTTCTCACAACTGTTTCAACGATTGTGAGATCTGTCCCTTATTGCTGTTTCCAGTGATGTCCTAACTGGTATTTCTAATTTCATTTTTTTGCAGTCAGGCTACACACTACTACAGCTAGCTTCATGCTTCTGAGATTGTTCTTACCTCACCCAACCCTCCGCTCCAAAGTTTCAAAGACCACTTTTTACAAAATCGCGCCTAAATTCCTCCCAAAATTATTATGTTGAAACCCTAACCCCCAAAGTTGATGATATAAGGAGCTGGGGCCTTTGGAAAGAAGTGCTTATGTCATGAGGGTGGCGCCCCCCTGGATGGGATTTGTGTTCTTATAAAAGAGACCCCACAGAGATCCTTCTCCCCTTTCACTATGTGAGGACACAGTGAGAAGTCACCAGCTGTGAACCAGAAGGAGGGCCCTCACCAGAATGTGACCAGGCTGTCACCTTGATCTTGGACTTGCTAGCCTCCAAAACTGTGAGAAATACATTTCTGTTGTTTGTAAGCCACCCAGTCTGTGGTATTTTCTCATGGCAGTCCGAACAAACTAAGATACTTAGTGGGGCATTTGTGGCCTTCTGTGATCTACCAAAATGAAATGCCTGCTTACTTATGCAGTCATTCAGTCAGTCAACAGACATTTATTGAGCTCTTATCACATACCAGACATTTTGCCAGGTAATGCCAAAATGAACAAGACAGTCTGGGCTTATTCATCAGGGAGCTCACTGTCTAATAGCATTCTTTATTTACATATGCAAAGAAAAATGTTCTACAGGGACAGATTTGATTGTCTTATCAGAAAAAAGTTAAGAAACGCAGACAAATACATACACTATAAGCACTTGTTTTGTATTGATGCCTAATTTACATAGAATAGGATCGATTTAAATAATACTTCAATGATCTTTGAATTACATAACTACTTACCCAAATTCAAGTTAAGTGCCTTCTATACCTTATGGTGTTTTGAAACTGTACAGATCTATTAAGCACCATTTAAACAGAAAGAGAGATTCAAGGTGATTTTCAGTGATAGCTTACCAGAAGCTGGCACGTTGTCTGTGTTTCTTTGGGCTCGGTTGACCAGGACAGTGGTAACATTCACTGGTGGTTTCCTAAATGCATTTTTCTTCAGCAATGATTTTACTTGCTTCTGAGACTTGAAAACATTTGCAAGACTACTAGATAATGATTGATTTATATACCAACTTAAATTAGATACAGCAATTTGAGTTTTTACTTCAACTACTGTTTCTACAAATTCTGTCAGACCTTTTCGAAGAAGCTGAATATCTGGTAGGGAGCCGTTTATCCACTTAGGTATGGTAGCATTCAGTTCTGATATACGTGTAGAAGCATTATGACACATCGTCAAAACTTCATAGACGGTTTTGTTAAGTAAGGAGAAGTTAATTGAGTGATGAATGGATTTTGCTTCTAGTGCCTTATATCTAGAATTTAATACCTGCAGTTGAAGAACCTGGTCTCTCTCATTTGTGGCCACACTGGTTTTTTTTAGTGAAACATAATAAGGTATGAGCGTCTTGGTCACTTTAGACTCAATGTCTTGCAACCGAGTTTCAAAAGTTTGGGAAATCTTTGTGGCTGAGAGCACTTTTTCCTCCAAATGACTCATATTTTCCTGGTATTTTATCACTTGGGCAGTGGTTTCATTGACCATTTGATAAATCTTTTGAAAGTTGAACTGACTTAGTGTTCCATCTTTAGGAATACCTGCAAGGGCCTTGGCAACTTGCAAGACAAAGTTATATCTCTGATTGTCATTGACCAAAATCTGAACAGAATCATTCAAATGTTGGAATTGAGTCATAAATGTCAAAATAGTTTCCATATTTTGGCTACATTTATCAAGGGCATTGGGATTGCACTTTATTGTACTTAAAGTCTCTTTTAACATGTAGTTATCTTGAATGAAATCAATGGCATTATTTATAATAATCATTGTCTTATTTAGGCCATCTTCCATTTCTAAGGCATGTTCATTGATACGTCTGTCTAAGGCATCACTGCGACTCTGTACTTCATTTCTAAGTAAGTTGTATCTTTTTGTAAGTTCTCTGACAAGAAGATTTAGACTGTTGACAGCACTAGTCAGATTTTCCACTTTTTTCCTTGTAGCTTTTGCTTCTTTAGGTTGTTCATATGCCACTATCTCTCTAAGTGATGCCCCTTGCTCAAGCAAGGGTTGAAGGATCTCCATATCAAAAGTCAAGTCATTTAGTTGCTCATTCATTTTATCCATTTTATTGTCCATGGGAAAGAGAACCTCAGCTAACGTTTGGTTTAGAATTTGTAAATTCTCTTCTGTTTCCTTAATTTGAAATTTAAAATCACTTCTGTACTCGGATAACAAGTCTTCACATTCACCCCTGACAAGCTCTCTCTCCATTTCCAAAGCGATGGTGAGGTTGCTAATCTTGCTGTCTTGGATGTGCAGATCCTCCAGCATTTGCAAGACCATCAAACCTTGCTTCTTTACATTCTCATGAAGAGTAGACAGGTGCTCAGGGACATTGTTGCGAACCGACTCTGCAGCTGGAACACTCTCCTGATGTGATGCTTGTCCAGTTGACAGAAGCAGCTCCTGTACCTCCTTCATTTTAGAAAGTGTCTTATTGAGGGATTCGTGATACAGAATGTTCCTTGACCGTTCCTGTTCTAGAGCACCTTCTAAATAAGTCTGTTTTGCTTCTAGTTCTTTAATAGGCTTCTCATATGCAAAAGTCATTTCTTGTCTTATATTCACAATGTGATTTTTCAGATCTAGTATATCAGTTAAAGTGGGACTCTTTTCCTGCATTAAAACAGAATTTTGCTGGACTGCTATTGACACCACGGATTCATTGACTTGTTGAATTACGCGTTTGGTGTCTTCGAGGTCCTTTGATAGTTTCGATACAGTCTTGAGGAGCTGAGCTTTTGTCTCTCCCATGTCATTTTGGAAAATTTTCAATTGTTGTTTAACTATCTCCTTTATCAGATCATTAATGCTTTTGGATTTTAGACCTAGAGAAAGAAGTAATAAACAACAATAAATGACACATAATTTTAACTATGTAAATTTTAAATATCTCTAAAAAGATAAAAAGTTTGAGGCCAAACACTAATAACATGTAATAATAAAAATACTTCTTGATTACACTTATGAAAATTTTAAAATTTCTGTAGTTTATAGATGGTGATCACTTTCTTAATTCATAAGTCTGAAGGGAGAAATCAATTGTGGTGTAGAACACACCAGAACCACAACTCTAAGTTTCTCTGGGTAAAATACATGAGGGAAGTACTACTGTCTTCAGTTAACAGGCTCCTGTATGCAATGACTCTAGGTCTAGTTTTAGTCTTGTACAAAACTACATGACTTTGGGCTTTCTGCCTTAGTAAGTAATATCTAATGTTAGGTCATGATTGTGTTACTAGGTTTCTAGTAATTAACTTTCAAAGCCTGTGTTTCGAGCTTATAAAAACTAATAAATTGCAGAGAAATAATTTTATGAGATTCTCAAATGAGGAACAATATAAAGTAATAGTCAAAATATTCAGCAATAGTTTATAACAACAATAAAATAATAATGAGAGGTTTGGAGATCACTAAGTCAAATGAAAACAGGAATTCAATATATACCTTAAGTATTATAACATGACATTAATTCTTAGCAAAAAGAGAAGAGGCCACTTCCCACTAATGAAGCACATCATAGTATCTCCAGTATTAGAAAGCATGGACAAATCATAAGCTAGGATTGTGGACAGTTCTACAAGTAGCACTTAAAAAAAAAAAAAAAAAAAAAAAGAAAAA